TCATTCTTGGTATGATAAGGTGAAGAAATGGAGAAAGGTGGTATTTCTTGTGTGTATTTGACAGAATAATATAACCACAATTTTATGAGATAACCATAATTTTTATGACAAATGATGTGTAACCTGATCATTATTAAAGCTATTGTATGTGTAATGTGGCAGAAGAATTACTCTTTTAAGAGCAACTAGCTAAGCAGAGATTTTTAGCTTTGGTAAGGCTTAATCATTTATTATTAGCCGTCATTTGTAACAATGGTAGTTGATCTTCCTCTGTGGTTCTGGATATGCAGCTATGGCATTTGTTGTAACATACCGGCTTTGTAAAGTTATTTGATAGCATTTGCTTGATCCTGTTGTAACTCGTAGCAGAAAATAACATTTCTTTTTCTGGTTCAAATACTGGATATCTTTTAGGAAAACTTAGCCTGAAAGATACTTTCTGAGTGCCCTTATCCCAAAGGAAAAATACAAGAGGCACTCAAAAACGAAGGAATGTTTACCATGACATAGTATGTGATACAGAAATGATGAATTCCAAGTGCTTTATCAGTTTCATCTAGATACAGGAATAATATTACTTATGTCAGTAGGATTGCAGTGCTATGACAGAAAAACATGGCCTTACCACTTGTTACCTCCACGCAACTGAATTTATTACTATTTTTTCATTATTTTGAGACTTCTGTGTTTCCCAGTATTAATCAGATGAGATGTTTTATCTAACTAGTTACATTAAAAAAAAAGTATGTTACACTTCAGCACATCGAGGTTGAGATAATGTACACGTGATTTTTTTGTAATAAAGTTGATAAAAATCCATGCTTCTGCGTACTTCACAAACCTTTTTGCTGCATTGGTAACACCAGTCAACCAATTTACAAATCTTTTTATGATATCTTTCAAGAAAACAATGTGATAATCAATGTAATTAAAAGTCATTTTAATAGTTCAAATTGGCACCAGTAGAATTTACTGCTAATAAATATTCTACTGAGCTCAGGTTTGGCTTGTTTCCCCAAAATACGTTTAGCAGTAACACAAGTGTCTCTAGATTGGTGAGTACAGATTTAGGGTATTTTGCCACCTTCCTTCTTGTCTACAGGCTGTATGCAGAGAATTACATGTGATAAAAAGGTTTGGGTTTTTTTTAAACAACTACTTTCTACATTTCTGGTGAAAATGCAGTAAAAAGAGGGGTAAATGAGTAAAACAGCTGAAGACAATAAGGCAGCGTAGGGAGAAGGGATGAAATATAGCTAGTTTTTTAGATGCGGTTTTGCTCATAATCGGGATAGTGTATTTAGACTACACACACATTGCAGATTTGCGAGATGAAAAAATTGGGGGAAAATGCACTCTGTAAACATGCTGGAATTTTTCTGAAGTGTACTAGAATTTGAGGCTATCTCTATATCCCATGACGTGTGTGAAGTCATGTTTGTAGCTGCTACATTGAGACTGTCACTAGAGTTTCTTGACAAGATATTAACTTACTTAATAAATATACTTCGAATTTTCTGTAGATGCACATGTAGTTGTATGCTTACTAATATCCAATATATTATTCAAGTGCTATGACTGTTTTGAGTTTTCCATACAGATCTGCTGAAAGTTTAAGGTGTGCTTTCTTATTTTTTCTTTTGCTTTGTAAGCATACAGATACACAAACTAATATATGGGGGGGTTATATGAGTATAAAACTTCACATTACTTAGGTGAAAGAAGGCATAATTCTATATTTTGGTTTTAAAATAGATTCACTACTTTTGAGTAATGTTAGAAATAAGTACCAGAGGAATCAAGCTGGATAGGCAGGCAAGCAGTGGTATAGCTAAGGACAGTCCTAACATAGCTAGATTTATAGCATTAATAAGCGTAGTGAGATTTGTTTTGTTTTGTTTTTTTTTTAAACTTTAAATAATCTTGGACAAACAGAAAGTGTAGGGCAGTTAAGAAAAGACTCACCAACGTACAGAAAATAAGGAAGGAAACTGTGATGCTTTGAGAAGCTCAGTCTATATTTGTTAATTCAGTTTTCCTGCCAGAGATTATGTTTGCAATTTGTCCGCTCTTTATTTGAATGTATAGTGCTTTTATGACTGTGAGTTAACAGGTACATGTTGTAGATAGATAGACACTACAAAGTGTCTTTGCATGCTACCTCAGAAGAGAGAAGCTTCCATTCTTACCTTTCCTGCAGAGGTGTACCGGCACCCACAGTCCTTTCAGAGGGGTAGTTTTCTTGGGGGTACTCTTCTATCAGTTTTCAGTTTTCTAGTTAAATAGCTAATTTTAAATCAAACCTGGAAATGGTGCCTTAAGTAGAGCTGCAGATTTGGTAACAGCTGGAGGAATTTAAGTGCTGTAGCCATAATCTTATGTCCATAATCTTATGTTGTCAGAGGCATACTTTGTCCTAACAGAAGCTGGCGTCCAGCGTTCTAGTGTGGACGCTTGGACCGTGCAGTCCCATCCAGATTAAGGTGGAGAAAATCAGACTTCCTGTGTTCACTGCAGTGTATAAATAAATCTGAGGGCTGTTACCCACAATGGCCAGAACTGCTTTTAAGTAATGCCCCCTAGTGTGCAAATGAAGATTATCAGGAAAACAAACGGTTCTCTCTCTGATGTATGTATTTGCATTGATGTAGCATTTATATCTTCTGCTGAAATATCCCAAATTGTTGAAATTTGCTAGCAGTTGCTGTTTATGCATATAATTAAAAATGGGGAATGTTTTCCCTCCAAAAACTGCAAGGAAGAAAAAGGGTCAAAATAAATACAGATGCCAAAGCAGATAGCAGTTGGTGCATTAAGAGACAATTATAGTCAATCAAGACACTATCAGAGTCCTTCAGCTCTGGTTCCATGGAGACCTAAACACTGCACTGCTCAGAGCCACCAAGAAGTGTTTTGTTACCTGTGGGGTTTTTTCCTGGCTTATTTTTTCTCTGTCTTAGTTAAGTCAGCATGTGGCAGAGTCCAAGAACTGGACTTGAGACAAGGGAATTGGTGGGAGCAAAGAGGTAGAGCATGGAACAACAGATCCCAGACTGAAGCCTGATGTTTCTGGAGGTGGTCTCTTATTGTGGTTATCCTTATTTAATATGGACCTAATATCTTGTTTCCCTACCTGTCTATAGTTTGATTTAGTTTTGCAGTCTAGACCTTTCTATAGGGATATGCCAGCTGGCTGACTTTCTTCAAGAGGACTTTCAAGTCACCCCTGTGATTGTTTCGTACAGACATCCTACAAGTAGGGCTTAGAAGACTTGTTTGCCTGATTCAGATGTATTTTCTTCACTCTTAAGTATTTGAAAAACGTAGCATTTTAACTTACTAGAAGTCTTCACCTCGAATATAGGCTGCAGTGTGGCGGTATTTAATAATTATCTTTACAGTTATTAATTTTTGTTATTTCACTGCTTCTGAAGAGACACTTGTAGTGGTGCAGTGCTTAGCAGAATCTGGCACAACCTCCCTCAAATACCGAACAGTAACCAATACAGTAGTTTGTCTTTTTCTTTCGTAATAAAGCCTTCAAAAATCTGTGTAATCTTCACT